CTGGTAGTTTTATGGGTTACAAGGTAGGCTGCTAACCTTAAGGTCAGCAGTTCAAATCCACCCATACTCCGCAGGACACAAAATATGCTTTCTGCTCCCATAAAGATTGACAGCCTCAGAAACCCCATACAGGTTCCCTCTCAGGTGGAACCCAGTCCACAGCACAGAGCAGCAGCAGCAACATAGCCCTTCTTCAGGGGATTGTCCTTCCTGATAACATGACCAGAATACACAAGAAAAAGGCTCATCATTCTCATTGCTGAGGAGTATTCGGGCTGTACCTCTTCTTAGTCAAAGATCTGTTGTTAATTCTTTCATTGATGCTAATTGTTTAAAGGTCAGAAACTATGGCATTTTGGATTTAGAAAGACCATAGACTATTAAATTGTGTAATTACTGCCTGTCTTCCATTAAATATGGACTTCTTGAGGTTAGCAATTTTATGCCACTGGTTTTTTCCTGCTAGTGCATTATATAGAAGTGACAATTAGTGTCTATTGGACTTCTGGTGTGATGCTGTAGATCAGTACTGGACTGTGAACCACAAGGTCTGCAGTTCAAACCCATCAGCTGCTCCTCAGAAACCTTACATAGGGGTGATATGATGTCAGAACCGACTCAATGATACTTAACAACAACAACATTGAATGTCACGGGGTTCAGATCCTGGCATTACCAATTAATGACTGACATTATTCAAGTTACATACTTTCATAGTTGTTTACTTAAACACACACACACACACACACACACACACAAAATAGGGTTGATATCACCTAAGTTTCAAAATTATTGTAAGTCTGAAGGGAAATGATGAGACAGTAGATTCGATACAATGTGTGGAATATTATTGTTGTTGTTAGCTACGAATGAGTCAGTACTGAGTCATAGGGACCAGAATGATACACTGCCGGGCCTGCACCAACCTCACAATCATTGCTCCATTTGACCCCATTGCTCCTGCCACTGTGCCAGTCCATCTTATTGAGGATCTTCCTGTTTTTCTCTGACCCTCCACTTTACCAAATATGGTATCTTTCTCCAAGAACTGGACCTTCCTGACAATAGGTCTGAAGTATGAGAGACAAAGTCTGGCCATCCTGGCTTCCAGGGAGTATTCTAGCTGTACTTCTTACAATACAGATTTTAAAAATATTTTAAATATTAATATTCAATATTTTTTATATTCTCCTCCAACACCATAACGCAAACACATCAGTTCTTCT